GCGGCGCTGCCCCGCTGCAGGCTCCATGGCTCCGCCGGGCGAGGGGCGGCCGCTGTCGCCGGGGCCTCCCGCTGCGCCGCGGCCAGGCAGCGCGGGGGGGGGAGCCGGGTTCCGCCTCCTCTTCCTGGTGCTGCTCCCACGGGGACCGTCCGGTGGCCCGGGCCTGTGTGTTGTGAGCTGCTCTCAGCTCAGCCGCCTTCGCCCGCTCCCTTTCCCCGCTACTGCACAGGCAAGTACTTCAACCCCAGGCGCAGTCCCAGCGGCCGCCACCGAGCAGGGGCTCGTCCTTCAGCAGATCCACGGCTGTGTGATTGTTAGTGGCCTGGTGGAGTCAGCCTGGGCAGTTCTCTGAAAAGGTCACACTCCAAAAAAAGCTGCCAGTGTTAGGAACCGTTAGGAAAGGGGTAGATAATATGACCAACAATTTCATAAAGGCTTTATATACATCCCTGGGGCGTGCGCCCACATCTTTAATACTGGTCTGGTTGCCCCATCTCAGAAAGATACATAAACATTAGAAAAGCGGCAGAGAAAGGCAAAAAATGAGGTGAAACAGTTTCCATGTGAGGGGAGATGAAAAAGACTGGGACCCTTCAACTTAGAAAAGGGAAAACTAAGGGGGATGTGAAAGATTATAAAATTATAAGTGATTAAGGAAATGTTATTTAACTCTTCATGTAACCCAAGTACCTTCCCTGAGACAACAGTAATACTTGGCTACCATGCAGGAGTAAAATAAATAAACTTAAAGCCAGAGTAGTTTCCTCTACTCTAATAGATTTCCTTTCTCTGGTTTTTCCACTGTCTGCTGACATAATTTATCATGCCATCTCTCATGGCAGCCTGGGCTGGAGGTTCCCATGTTTGTTATTTTTTCTTTGAGTTACCAAAAGGAACCTGAATGCTTCTCTATTAGAAGCAGAGTAGGTTAGCACTGTGGGGAAACAGCACAGCAGCACTGTGATTTGCCCAGGGTCATGGAGGGTATCTGTGGAAGACTAGGTTTTGAACCCAAGTCTCCCACAGGCTAGGGTCACTGTACTAGCCTTCCTCTGTTGTAAAGGAGGAGCTGGAACTAACAGCACATGACTGAGAAGGATACCAACTAAGGATGTTAAATATAGAGTAATTTACTAGTCGATAGACATTTCCGCATTCCTTCTTTGAATTCCTTCCTTCCTACTGGGGCTCTTGTACATTTCAAAGGAGGAGTGCGGAACTCTGCCTGCAGCCAGGGACCAGCAGGAAGACTTCAGGCTGCACAAGGGTACCAGCTTTGAAATGTACAGATTCCCTGGCTAACCCTGGGCTCCATGCTGTGTTGCTGCTTTGAAATGCCACACGGAGCCTAGGGTCAGCTGGGGGAATCTGTATAGCATTTCTGCGGAACCCCCAGCTGACCTCAGGCTGTGCACGGTATTTTCCAGAACCTGGGATCAGCTGGGCACTCCCAAGGTGACCCTGGCTCTGGGTGCTGTGCTGGAACCCAGGATCAGCTAGGGAGTCCCCATCTGACCCCGGGCTCCACGCCCC